TTATAAAGGTAATGAAAACTTAGAAATAAATTTCTTAAATTTAATATATTAATGTACCGACAACAGGCAGGGATTTGTTTATTTCAAATTTACGTGTGAATTTGATGGAAGTTCATTTCTTCCGTTGTACGCTCCGGCTTTCTTCATTTGATTGGAATTTCGAACCGAACCCTTTATTTCGCACACCAGGATAGATTGTCCTAGTTAAACAAAGACAATGGATAAAGACGTTGGTTAGATCCAGTGACTAGACACAAAGAGTTGTGAGTTCAATACCAGGCTACAGCCGCGGCGAAAAAAACTTGGAAAATTGTGTTATATGGAAATAACTGAGACATCTGGAAAACGCATGGTACGTGGAACTAGAACAATCTACTCCGGTTGACAAAATAAAGGGTTCGCTTCGAAATTCCAAACACCTGAAGAAGGCCGGATCGTACAACGGAAGAAACGTTGTGAATATGGCAATGACGATGAGGATAAAAGTCGGAATAATGTAAATAATGTAAGTAATGCCTTTGTCTCGTTCTTCCATTTTTATTTGCAAATAAATACACTAGGAAATAAATAAGCTCTACGAAATACTCATCTTATGAATAACCCTTCGCCATTTAGACTCAAATCCTGAATAAATTTTTCTTTTCTTCGTTGTGGAAAGTATAAATTGTGATATCCGCTGATTTTACACATATATTATTTGATATCCACTTTTAAATTTAACATTTTCTAATAATAGCCAACCTCGGACACTGTTGCTTTAGTCATTTCAATGTGCTCATCTTTGAATCTTACAAACTTACTCAAGCATTCTTTCTACCTTTGAAATCAGTTTGATAATTCCATCAACTGCCCTGACCTTGTTTAATATTTTCCCAGCCGTTTCAACGGAGCTTATAGCTTTAGGTTATTTTAGACATTTTCAAAGTTTTAATTCTGTACTGGTGTAGATAGAAGATTTGGCTGGTACGATATTCAGAACAAAGAAAATCGTAAGCGAAATGCCAAGAATTGACAGACACATTGTCACGGTGGATACAATCAGACAGTTTATAACTGATTCTCTGGCGGTTTAAATGAGAAAACTCCACAGGAAAATGTCTTTTTAGGCATGCGAAGTAAGGTTCCAAGGATATGTTACAAAGTTACATCAACTTCCTGCAACCGGTTCTCGACTTATTCAGAATGGTGTATAAATGTCCATTCAGAAATCATAATGAGTCCAAAATAGATCTGCTTCCTGAGGGAGACATTGATAATGAACACTGTTCTCGTCCCGATAAAAGGACAAAATTTTGAATGATTATTTTCAAGAGATGCACGGACACTTCTCCTTACGCTTAATCCAAAGATATTAATTTCTTTTCGACTTCATATAAGTGATTGCTGTTTCTCGTAAATATCTATATACGCACAAATGCGCGTGCGCAAAAACGGAAACAGGCGGAAAATACGCTTTTGTGACAGTTAAATCTGTATACTAATGGTCCTAGCGGAAACATTCAGCTGTGTATTCATTACGCGCTAATAATCTTTGGAAAGGTATGGATCCATGACTTTCCCCCAGCTATGGGTAAATATCAGGTCAGATATGGCGCTAATAGCCTTGATTGGTTGCGAATTTTGCTCCATTAGGCTATCTTCACCAAGAATCACCGATTCTAAAATGGCTGTACTAGATGTGTTGTCCCTACTTATCTAAGAGTTGAGGCATTCCTGATTGTGATTCTTTATCTAGTTTTAAAAAGATCCCTGAGAAATGTTTAAAATAGTTCGTTTTTTGGTTTTATCATTTGCTTCTTTTCGACATGCTCAGAAGGAAATTCTTGGAAAAAACACTAGGTTTAATAACTGTATGGATGTGGTAACAAGCCTCACCTAACCTGATGTTAGATTTATTTGTTCCGATGAATCCTGGCTATAGATCCACTAAACAAAATTCCTAAATGACAGGAATGCTGCATGTTAAGAGACAGTCGGATTAGTTTGTGGTCGACAATTATTATTAAGCTCTGGTTGGAACTCACTCAAAGGATTATGAAGGAAAAAAATATTTTAAAAATACATGATGATAAGAAAGTATACAGATAAAAAAAAAGAAAAGCAAGCGAAATGATTGCTGTAAAATCTCAATCGTCTTAAGCGCTTCTCGTTACGAAAGGAATCCTTCCTCCGGGTATAGAATTTATGATAGGCTCGCGAAAGGACGCCCGCTTCCAAACCAGAAAGGGGGGGGAGTGTTGGTAGGCGGGTTCATATTTTCATTCTTCTTTTAATGCACGCCTGCGACCGCTTTCTTCAAATGAGCAAACTCTCTTATCCATTATTTGGCTTTCTGTTAGGATTATTATTGAAGATAAATTGCACCAAGTAAACGTTTTGTCAGAGGACTTGAATACACAGGAGACACAACCTTGGAAGCGAGGACCCCGCCTCAGTATCAAAAGAAAAATAACATTAGAATATTGCAAAAATATATTCTCTTAATTTTATTACGGATAATGGCTGTCCAAAATAAAGATATCGAAACGAAAATGAAACCTTATTTCTTTCAAACGTCAAACCCTTTTGGACGGAGATGATCATGTCTCTCTACAGCTTCTTTTTTTTAATAGAATCTGTAAAGTGTGCATTGTTTTATTTTTGGTTGACCAGTTTATTTCATTTGTCTTGTTTGAATGCAGAGTTTGTCCATTTTATCGACTGGAAGTAGTCAAATCTACAGAGCCTAGCCCACATATTTAATCTTTAGCGCGGAGAAAATCTGACCGATTTATGATATTTCATTGTGACAAAGGATATCCACCGAAATTTTAACTTCGATGACCAATTTCGTTTTCTATGTTGTTGACCTTTAGTCATTTATATTTCAAAAGAGATGCAAGATAAAATGAATATATTCGTTTCAACGTCATTATTATTTTCCTATCCAAGATACTAATGAAAATCTGTGATTTCAGAATTAGTTTTTTGTGAAACCAATGTAATTACCACATTCCGACAAACATTTTGAATCGCAGGGAAAAACAGAAACAACCATTAAATTTGTGTTATATCGTAAACTGCAATGGAAAGCAGGATGGGAATGCAGCGTAAAGGTTATTGGCGCGAAAAGTAAAATCAGCGAAATATGTTCATGTAGCGGCTGCATCAGCTACATTTACTTCGTACTCTTACGTCTGGAAAAAGGCAAGAATCCGTCGCTTCTTGCTCCGGCTGTGTGCCAAAGGACAGACTTCTCCATCTTTGGATGGCAGCCAATCTAAAATGAAGATAACCCCGATTTCAAAATATTAAAGTAGGCAATAGAAACATAGTCACTTACTTTTTGGTAAGATGCAATGGCTTTTTACAGGAATCTGTGGAAAATCATGATCGCCCACTTTCTGAACCGACATGACATTTAAAAAATTACATCGAAAAAAATTTCCGTAATTTATAACGCTGACCACATTTAGACTTTACAGCCTATCCACCTTTCCCATTTATTTTACCTTGAATCAATCTTTACAGGCTCTGAATCAGATCAGACGAAAACCTTTACCTTACCATATCTAGATTGGACGCCCGCAATCCACTCTTTACAGCTTTGATAGAGGCCAAAAGCGTTTCAGACGGCCTTGTACCGTTTTTGACCCTAGAAACCGTTTCACACAGACAACGTCGCATGTCGTTCGGTAATCTATCGCTATTTCCATTGAAAAAGAAACTATATCGGTATTTCTCTATTTACATTATTCGGACTATTGTCCTCATCTTTGACATAGAGGAGAACATGTCTAAAGACTGTGTGTACGCTATCCCGTGCAGATGCAGAAAGAAATATAAAGGGGTGACAGGCCGACCCCTTAAAGTAAGGCTTCAAGAGGACCAGAAAGCTGTAACAAGAGAGTATATGCAAAAATCAGGTGTGGCTGTCCTCATATGGAGAAGGTTGAGATCATAGACAAAGAACACCTTTGGAAAATTCGTAAACTTAAAGAATTGGCATATATGCTAGGTCACAAACATCTCTTGAGCCGACCAAGCATAGAAATGAATACAGTATGGGAACCAGTAATAAGGAGTGCCAGAGAAAAGCGATAACAACAAAAAGTTGCGATATGAGTTCTGGTAAAAAAATGCAATGACAGCAGCAAAAATTGTCATATGAGCACTGGTAAAAATGGTTATTAAAGACATTATGTTTATAATACCCAGAAATTCATATCTTCAAGGATACATGGCACAGTGGATAAAGGCGTTAGTTAGATCCAGTGACAAGACCCAAAAACACAGAGTGTTAGTTAAATATCCGGTTAAGGCAGTGGAGAACTTTCAGAGGGGAATTAACATGAGATAACTGAAAACTGACATCCATTAAACATGGCACACTTACAGTCTACCACAATGAGCGAAATAATAGTACGAATAATATAAATAGTGTACATAATACCTCATCTCAGAAATATAGACAGATCAGTATTTCTATATGAAAAAGGCTCTGACGAGCTACATTCCTTAGTTCGAACACTTCATACCTTTACAGCTTAGGCACGCTATACGAGGTACACAGGAAGTAATTAAGAAGTAGATTATCTTGTCTTGACCTTGATTTGTGAAATAGGCACCTCGATCGCTAAATAATTAACTTCTTTAAATCAAACGTCAACCGTTATCTTTCCTACATATCGTAATAATCTACAATTCTTACATTAAAAAACAAGACAATTCACTAATCGTCTACCTTGAGCTGCTCTTGGGTCTTGCAAAAATAACATCAGAAATGAATTCCTGGATAAAGAAACAAAATATGAATTAACTTTCGAATTTTGCATATGTTTATCTGTAACAGCCTAAATTCAGCAAATATATGACAACATCCGATCATGGGAGTAATGATGATAATGGTGAGAATTTATTATTTCTCTTTCTCCCGATAAGAATACTAAATCCATGCAAGTATAATCTTATATTTTTTCATTGTGAAATAAACAGGTTGAGTGAATTATGCTAAAGACGATATGACCGGAAAAATCTCATCATCTGGATACGACAGCAAATCAGTTCTTTCTTTGTTTCTGTTTTTATTCCTTTCTGTCTTTCTTTTTTCGTTTCTGTCTTTATTCCTTTCTGTCTTTCTTCGCTTCTGTCTTTCTTTCTACGTTTCGGTCTTTCTTACTTTCTGTCTTTCTTTCTTCCTTTCTGTTTTTCTTCCATTCTGTCTGACATTCTTCGTTTCTGACTTTCTTTTTTCTCTCTTTCTTTCTTCGTTTTTGTCTTTCTTCGTTTCTGTCTTTCTTCTTTTCTGTCATTCCTTCTTCGTTTCAGTCTTTCTTCATTTCTGTTTTTCTTTCTTCGTTTCAGTCTTTCTTCATTTCTGTTTTTCTTTCTTCGTTTCTCTCTTTCTTCATTTCTGTTTTTCTCTGCTACTGTCTTTCTTCGTTACTGTCCTTCCTTTCTATCTTTCTTTTTTCGTTTCTGTCTTTCTTTGTTTCTGTCTCGTGTTTCTTATTTTCTTGTGGCAATATGTTCCTCAAAACAAATCCATTCAATCACATAGGGAACATTTCTTGATATTTGCTGACTTCTTGACAATTTCAGATCGCTTTTCGCTTAACCAGTCAAAACTATATATTATACCCATTTCTCCATTTGTATCATTGTCAGAGAACTATTTTTCCTTCACATACGTTTTTAAATAATCTCCAAAATACGCGTTTCTTCATGAAAATTATCTTTATCGATGTTATAAGCGATGCTTTGTAGACATATTCATAAACTTGTATCGCTACAGACAGAAGTGATGAAGAGCTTTTCCCATTAGTGTATGCATGTATATTGCACGTACAGTGTATCTTAACTCTTGGAACCCTGACACCCTGATAAGTACGGATCTCCAGCTCGGGCCCCAGCTGAACATCACTGCTGTCCATAAGTTAGGGTGGCAGACTGGCTGCAAGGGTATATGCACCTGCACACAAATGCCGGTGTAAAGGCCGTTGGTATTCAAATGGTTAATGTTATTATCGAATATTGATTTTAACTACTTCTTTTAATAATAAAAATTAAAGTTATTTAATAGTTATTTCCATAAAGAAGAAATTTAAATTAAAGGAAGAAAGAAAAAAAGGCAATATATATATATATATATATATATATATATATATATATATATATATATATATATATATATTTATGTGTGTGTGTGTGTGTGTATAAAGTCATGTCTCATTAAATAATTTAGATAGTTTTTTCTCTACTTGTTTTTAATAAGATCCTCTCACAATTACCGCCAAGTTTTTTAGTATCCTTATTAAAGGAAGGAAGAAACAAAACGAAACATATTGTTGTATTTTCATTTTATTCCGTGTAAGCACTATGTCGTCATCAGTGGCTTCTTTTTTCTAAGACGAAAACTTGTTTTAATCACGGGCAAACGTCAAGGATGGTAACTAAGTTGTTCTAATGTATAAATATTTAAAAAAAGAAAAACAAAAGTTAAAACCTAGATATTTAAACTGTAAACATTTTAAACATTTGTGAAATATTCATATTGAATTTTATTAAGGTTTGTTTCCAATATTTTAATAAAGATAGCTTCAAGAATTTTATGTAATTTTTTTTCATGAAAAATGTTTAGATGAATTTTCAGCATGAATTTTCCTAATTAGCAGATAGGGACAGGCATGCTTTTGTAAATGTTGACAGATGTTAGATGCATCATTCAAATGAGAACTCAACATTTGAGAAAACGTAGCAGTGGTATGGACAACATATATATATTATTTGTTATGTTGGAGATAAAATCTCCCAATGGCCATTTAACTTTGTATACAATGTTGGTTTTCTGCAACACGTTAGTTTGTGAGGAAGAGAGTTAACGGTTTTTTGTAGACATCATCAGATTTTTGGTTTAAATTATTAGTTAAAAAAAAAAAATTTATAATTACTTGTTTAACAAATATCCCAATCATCAGATTCATAGTAGGAATAATTAACTACAAACATGCATACAACATAACACCCTTCATAATCCATAGCCCAAAGTAGTAGTTTAAATACCCTACATAAAAGATAACCCTTTATGAAGTCGTCAAAAAACAAACGTTACGAAAGTTTTTCTTTTTTTATATGCACAATTCCCTTTCATAATAAAATAAAATAAAATAAATAAATCTCCATAGACAAGCAAACTAGACGAAGGTTAATACATCTTCCGTTTCATTTTTGACACCCCCACCTTTCCCCGACTTGACATCTTGAAAGTATCTCTATACCGCTACTTATTATTAACACCCTACACTCGCCTACCCAATTTAAACAATTCGCCCTAGCTGTTACCATGGAGATTTTGATTTCAATTTTTAAAACAAGTAAATTTCAGATATACGTTATTCCAACAAAAATTTCGCTTGAAGATGGAACGGAGCCCATTTTAATTTAAAACTCAATTTAATTTAAAGGATTATATTGAAGTTTTCGGCTTTTTGTTTTGAAACATGAGACCTCTTATGTAGCGATTTGGAATCATATTTTTAAATAAATAATTTATATATTTATATATATATATATATATATATATATATATATATATATATTTATAAAGGTAAAAAATACATTGTTATATCATCCAAGTGGATCCTAGTAATATAAAATTATTAAAACTGATCCATAAAAAGACCTCATTGTATTTATTATTACAGAGCCAAATTTAATAGACAATAAAATCCAAATTCACCTCAAATGTGGAATCAGCTTATTTCCACAGACGAAAATATATTTCGTCTGTATTATCAAGACCAGTATAGAATGAGTTTCTGTCGGAAATAGAAATTTAACTGTGAAAGCTGAAAAAAAATAGTTGAAAAACTTATACAGAATTAATCTATTTCAATGTTTCAGTCAGACTAAAGGCAGGAGACAGTAGCCAGGTGTGGTTGGAAGGTATTTGTCTTAAAGGGAAGAGTTTTTTAAAATGATATAACGATATATAATTTTGTATGATTTTTATAAATGACAAACTGGAAAAAAATTGTAACGCGTTTCATTCGTTATGATTTCATCGGATTGGACTTTGTTGATGTTGCTATGTCTACACGTAATGGATATCAGTTATCTCCTGTAATACACTGTGGATAAAGGCGTTGGTTAGATCCAGTGACAGGACCCAAAGAGTGTGTGTTCAATACCCGGTTAAGGCAGTGGAGAAATTTCAGAGGGAAATTAACAAGAGATAACTAACACCCATTAAACATGGAACGTAGAACTAGAACAGTCTACCCCAGTGAGCGAAATAAAGAGTTAAGTTCGACATTCCAACCACTTGAAGAAGGCCGGAGCGTACAACGGCCAAAACGTTGTAATAAATATGGCGACAAAGATGAGGACAATTGACCGAATAATGTAAATAATGTACGAAAATTTTTGCATAGCCGCTATAGATTTAAGTTTTACATAAAGTTAATATAGCCAAAGAATATCATTCAGAAAAAAAAACTTACACAAACTCATGCAGTATTAACAGTAAAAATTATAACTTATGTTTAGAGGGAAAATTAGCAGTAATTAGTTTTAAAAACCAAAATAAACTTTTAAAGAAGAAAACTGAAATACTGAGTAAATGTAGCCATATAAATAAATACTTACATTGCCATTTAATCACTATTAATAAATAAACAAATAAATATAAATAAAATAAATATGATATAAATTAGATAAGTAAAATATATAATATAAATTTTAAATAAATAATTAAATGAAACCAATATAAGCTTTATTAATAAATGAAATATCGAATAAATATAAAACAAACACACCTATCTGCGTGTGTGTACATGTACATGTAAATACATACACACACACAAACTAACAGCCAAAAACAAACAAGCATAACCACACCCATAATTAATGGTTCAATATATAACACCAAGGCAAAAATCAATAAAATACTAACAAATAAATATAAAAATGATGCATTACATAAATGATAAATGATAATATATGATATCAGCATGCACTTATTTTAATTACGTCCGAGAAGGTGTATATATATATATATATATATATATATATATATATATATATATATATAGATAGATAGATAGATAGATAGATGGGCTTTCGACCAATTCCTTAGACATTCTTCAAGGGTGTTAGTTTCGTTTCTCTTCAGGTTTTCACTGACTGAGATTTATTTTTTGTGGTTTTAAATACTAGTAGGGGGCGTTTATTCCTAACCTTTGCGTGTTAGCGCGGCTGGAATTCGAGTGAGCGGCTTTCTATTTTTTAAATATTATGCACACACACAAACACACTAACGCGCGCGCACACACACACACACACACACACACACACACACACACACACACACACATATATATATATATATATATATATATATATATATATATATATATATATGCGCACGCTTGACAATCGATTAAGCTATTTCCGCGCATGGTATCAGGGAATGTCCTCGCTGAATGAGAGTGGTACTAAGATATTTAATGTCTCTTCCTCTCCCTTAGTTGTTTCCAGGTAGACAGCGTATAAATCTTTCGAATCACGCAGGTACACTTAGTAGTTATAATGGAAGAATTTGCATCACTTGGGGATACATAAAACAAATCAAAGTCTTTGTTGTGCGGTGCAATCCACCAAATACGATGGACGTCAGCAGGCACATAAATGTGTATATTCCGATTAGTATCCGTTATGGACATTTATATAAATACACAGTAGCATCCAGAACACGATTATGAACTCGAAGACTTACACAGATACATACTACGCTGTACTGAGTTGTTATTTTTAAAAATTTAAAATGAATGCCTTTCAAGATGATTCTAATCTGTTCTCAAAAAATTCACTGTGAGCGAATTATCTTTTTACAACATGAGGTCGCCAATATGGCGGATTAGCTTTCTCTTCTATGTTTCATGACTTGTTTAACGATTTGTAGGCCTCCTTTCAAAACATTCAAATCATTTGTCGCTATAAATAGTTTTATACATCCCAATCTGGTATCTATTCACGTTATGTACGTTATTCGTTCTTTCCCTCTGTACCTCTTACCTTCAATTCGCCTTGTAAGAATCAAATTCTCTAAGCCCTCTTTCCTCATTATAAGTGCTAGATATTTTAACTGCTTATGTTATTATTATTATTATTATAAGAGTCCTTATTTACACTATTTATATTCGGGCTATTATCATCACCTTTGTTTTTGTTACATAACGTTTCACTTGTTTCTGACGGCCTTGTTCAGGTGTATATCAATCTGGATAATCTACGGAGAATTATGAATCGAACATCTTATTTAATCTCCGGATGTAGACTGTTCTCATTTCCAGTGATATCGTCTAGTCCTTATTTTTATTTAGTACTGTTCAGTTATTGGCCGCCTGTTTCACCGGAGTGCAAATACACACTGCCCAATCCTGGGATTGAACTCGCAATCTCTATGTTATCAATTCACAAACCAACGTTTTTTATCCAGTAAGCCATGTCCCGTACTGCCTGAAGAATGTCGGAAGGCACAACGTCCGAAACGCTGTGATAGCAACAACAAAGATGAAGACATTAGCCCAAATATATATAGTATAAATATATATACAGTCCAGCAGCTAAATATCCTGCCATCCACCCCACCCCCAAAAATGTCTCTACTACGGCCCCTGAAATGGCACAATACTTTTTGGTC